CGTCTTTGACTTTTACTCCGTTCACTTTACGAAAGTCCACATAGAACCTTAATTTTCCGTCCTTTTTTGGAACTAATACAACTGGAGATGCGTACGGACTACTACTGTCCTTTATTACACCTTCTTTTAATTCAACCCTGTGTTTTTTTGGGCACTCTATAAGGTCTCTGTGGTATAGGCTTACTATTTTGTAACACTATCTTATGTTTAACTTTGTTTGTACAACCATTAGAGTCGTTTTCTCCTACAAATATATCTCTATACTCTTCTAACAAGTTTATCAAACTTTGTTTATATTTTCGTTCTATATTTCCTAAGATAGAATCCCAGTCTATCCTACTTTGTTGTGCCTGTTTATTAACATTATGCTGTCCTACCACAGCCAACTGTTCTCTACTACTAGCCTTACCTACTACTATGTTCTTAGGTAGTATTATTTTTTTTCTTCGTTTATATTTAACACTTTTACAGGCACTGTGTCTCTCTTGGACACTTTACTAATACTAGCAGCTATATAAACTCCCGTTTCTTCTATTTCGATAGGCTCAACTAGCACTTCTTCATTATACTTAAAGTCATTTACTTTAGCTTCAACTATGAATTGACTTCTCGCAGGTACTTCAGCTATTTTAACTAACCTTACAGGAACTCTTTCTTTCAAACACTCCTGTTGGGATGCTCTGTTGCTTATGTTAGGCATAAGTGTAGAGTCATCTGAGGGGTTTGAATTATTATTATCCTGTTTTAAAGGCTTATTCATTAACTTTTTCTGCCTTATTTTACTATCACTCACCTTATCTTTATGACTTCTGCTAGGTTTAGCGTTTTTCTGTATAGTCCTATTCCTTGGCTTTCTTTTAGAACTTTCTTTAAGACACTTCTTATTCTTACTCCTCCGACTTTGTTGTGTGTCACTACATTTTAGTAAGAAGTCAGTGCTTTCGTATTTTGATGATTGATTCTTAGCCTCTTAACCTCTTATATATATAGTTTATTCTAATATTTTGCAAATGGTTCAAACTCAGTAGTGACAACAATAAAACCCATATGTTGATTGTGAAACAGGCTAAATACTAAATAATACAGGGAAGCTATGACATTCTCACATTTGGGGGTCTCAATACATTCCAACATAAATCTTGCCTGTAATGAGAGGAATGTGACCAGGACTAATCTTTT